ACTGTGTGCTGAAGACCTAGGGAGTACAGGGGGGCAGGATTGCAGGGTATACCCTTTGGTTGGTTGATGATGCATGGAGGGGATTGTAACCATGGCAATGAGACGATATAAGAGAGAATGAATGTAAAATTAATGTTCTCCCATGTAAACTATCACATAATTCACAATAAAACATAAGGAAAAAAAAAAAGAGGCAATGAATGATACTGAAGGAAGAAGTTCAAGGTCCATTGAAGACACAGGCAAAGAAAAAGGTTCTGGGAATTGATGGAACACAAATTGAAATATTTCAACAAAATGATGCAACACTAGAGGCACTCACTCATCTATGGTAAGAAATTTGGAAGACAGTTTCCTGGCCAACTGACTGGAAGAGAGTCATATATTGTGCCCATTCCAAAGAGAGGTAAACCCAATGGAAAGCTGAAACCATCAAACAGTATCATTAATATCACATGTAAGTAAAATTCTGCTAAAGATAATTTAAACTCTGCTGCACAGAGAACTGCCAAATGTACAACTCAGATTCAGACGATTATGTGAAATGAGTGAAATCATTGCCAACGTCCGAAAGATCTTGGTGGAAAGAAGAGAATACCTGAAAAGATATTTACCTATGCTTTACTGACTCCTCATAGGTTTTTGATAGTGTGGATCATGACAAATAATGGACAAAATTGTGGAGAATGAGTATGTTGGAACAGTTAATTGTGCTCATGAGGAACCTATACATAATCTATAGAGGCATCTATAGAGGCAGTTGTTTGAACAGAACAAGGGAACCCCAAATGGTTTAAAATTAGGAAAGATGTGCACCAGGGTTGTATTATTTCACCATACTTATTCGATCTCTATGCTGAGCAAATGAGCTGAGAAGCTGGATCATTTGAAAACATGGCATCAGGATTTGAAGAAGAGTCACTAACTACCTTTGATATGCAGAAGATACAAAATTGCTGAAAGCCAAGAGGACTTAAAATACTTGCTGATGAAGATCAAAGTTCACAGCAGGTATGGGTTGCACTTCAATGTAAAGAAAACAAAAGTCCTCACCACTGGACCATAAACAACATCCATATAAATGGAGAAAAGATTAAAGTTGTCAAAGACTTCATTTTGCTGAGATCAACCATCAACACTCATACAAACACAGCAGTCAAGAAATCAAATGATGTATTGCATTACACAAATCTGCTATACAAGACCTTTTTAAAGTGTTCAAGAGCTCAGATGTCAATTTGAGGACTAAGGTATGACCCAAGTCATGGTATTCTTAATAACCTCACATGCATGGGCAAGTTGGGCACTGGGAGCACCACATTGTATCTGGAGATGTGTTAATTATTTCTTAAGACCAGCAGGACCCCAGAGCTGGTCCACAGTCAGCCCTGGATGACCAAGAACCCTCATAACCAGTCACTCTGCCTGCAGCTGTCCTCTTGGCCTGGAAGAGTTCCCTCTGGGAACAAAAACTCTGGCCTCAGCTACCATAGGATTTACATAAACTATTTCTGGATTAAGTGCCCTGATCATAGACAACACCTAGATCCTATAGGAACTCCATTCGTTGTTGTTGTTAGGTGCCATCGAATCGGTACCTACTCATAGCAACCTTATGCACAGCAGAATGAAAAACTGCCCAATGCTGGGCCAACCTCACAACTGTTGCTATGCTTGAGTCCATCGATGCTGCCACTTGGCTAATCCATCTTGTTGGGGGGGGGCTTCCTCTTTTTATTTGACCCTCCACCTTACCAAACATGATATCTTTCTCCAGCAAATGGTCCCTCCTGACAATATGTCCAAAGTATGAGAGCCGAAGTTTGCCATCCTGGCCTCCAAGGAACATTCTGGCCGCACTTCCTCCAAAATGGATCTATTGGTTTTTTTTGGCAACCCATGACACTTTCAATACTTTCCTCCAACACCATAACTCAAAAGCATCAATTCTTCTATGGTCTTCCTTATTCACTGTCCAGCTTTCACATGCATATGAGGTTATTGAAAATACCATGG